TGACAAATGCATCCAAATGTTTGAGCATCCTGGTTATAGTGTTACATGGATATCTCCTCGGCGTTCACGTGATCCTATCGCCAGGAACAAAAAAGAAATAAAGACAAAGGAAATTTTTTGAATGTTGTCCTTCTCGCTTCTATCGAAGTACAACATTTGATGGGGCAAGCTATTTGAAGACATTTTTCAGCACCTCGGGTCCCCGATGCGGAGTCAAAGAGAAGCCGGTGAATAAAGCCCTGATTTATTTCCTGATAGTCTCGAAATTGGCCCAGAAAGGGTAAAGATCTTCCTAAGGAACTCAAAAGGTCACCTGCCAAGTTCCATCACAATCTGACATATCCAAGGCAGTACAGACAAAGAAACAGTTTCGAAAAAAATGGTCTCAAGAACCCTAAAATGGACCCTGTAACTGGAACCCTATTTTTAGAGTGTCGAATGACTGTGGGACCATTGCCATTGGATCTGACATGATCGAAAACCCCCAAAGGTCAAGTTTCAGCTTAAATAGACACTCCATGATGAAGTTATGGGCGAAAGATTGAAGAAGGGTAGGCCGCACGTTATTCCCATGTGCTCTCCTTGCACCAATCTCCATTCAAGGCGATTGGTTTTCACAGTCATGAACAATAACTTTCGAGACTCATATCTCCCTCGTTACCAGACAAGTCACACTCAAATTTTGAGAGATTGTTCGTCTCATCAAGACGAGCGTTTTGATATGTAGCACGTCCCATGATGATGTCCGAGTAGGGAGAATAGCTAGATGACGATTCGAGAACAAGAGTTGCAGAAAATCAACAGTAGTGCGTCTCACTTGAGCAGCCATATCCCGACGCTCGCATACCCGATCGACATGAATCCAGTTGCATTGCATGTGTAAGGTCCACGACTATGTCTGGTTTAAACGTCACGCATGATGAACAGGTAGATTTGGTGTACAAAGGTGTTAAAGTTACTGCAGAATTCCGGCTGTCGGAATTTGAATTCCGGTTGTCGAAATTTGAATTCCGGCCAAAACCCAAAAATTGTAAAATCTTTGTTCGGGCATGAAATCGAGCTGCGTTTATTGTAAATCTATTGTGACGGCATTCTCAGTGTAATTCAGTAAAGAAACCAAGGAAATACATCAAGAAATGAGTGCATTATTGATTGGAAGTTTTCAAGTTTCGTACAAATTTCAAGTCGCATGATCGTGGCCTAAAAACATGATCTATGGCTCGATGTTAGTATCAAATTGATCTTCATGCTGAGCCCAACGAGAAAATAATCATCTTTTGGCTATGCGAGAGCCGGAGCAGCCCTAAATCATCCTAAGAAAATCGAATACGTTTCATGGTTGCAACAGGGATTGTTTTGGAATTTTGTGTACTATTGGGGGGGGGCCAAAATCATAATTTTACACCCATTTTTAGATTTTATTTTAATTCAAATAAATTATATTTTTTAGCAATTAGGGTAAGTTTTGGGCATCCACTCATGTTTTGGACCCAATTTTATAAATACATGTTATGTCTCTTTATAAAGTACCTTCAACTGAATGAATAAAATTTAGAATTTACATTGAAATTGTGGGCACGTCTTTGAGAGAGAGAGAGAGAGGAGACAAATGAAAGAGTCTAGTAACCCCAGGTAATTTTCTCTTTCCTCGTCTCTTCTCTCTCATCTTCTCTTCTTTCTTTCTCTCTCTTCTTTCTTTCTCGCTCTTCTCTCTTTAGCTTTTTCTTCTCCCTTTCTTTCTCTTCTGCATCTTCTTTGTTTCTCTCTCTTCTTCTTTGTTTCTCTCTCTTCACCTCGCTCTCAACATGCACGATAGTAAGTCCCATTGTGCATGTTTCTCTCTTTCCTAATCTTTGCTCTCTTCCTTTCCTTTTCTCTCTCTTACACTTTCTTATCTCATTCTCTCAATTTCTTAATCTTCTCTCTTCCTTTCTTAATCTTCTCTCTCCTCTTTCTTTCTCTGTCTACTTTCCTTTCTTCTTTCTCCCCTTTCCTTCTCTCCTTTCTCTCTTTACTTTCCTCTCTCTCTCTTTCTTCTTTCTTTTTCTTCACATCTCTTATTCTTTCTCTCTTTATTCTTTCTTTTCTCTCTCCTCCCCAGTCATGCATTGCGATACTCATCGCCGAGCATGACATTCTCCTTCTCTTCTGATCTCATGGAATGAACACAATGAGCTGGGCCCTAACTCGAGTGGTGGGTCGGGCCTCTGTCTAAGTTCCTCCTTCCCCATGTTGTGCAGGGCAATGCTCATCACCGTACATGACATTTCTTCTCTTATCCTCTGATAAAGGCACAGACCCGATCTCTTTCCCAAGTGGCAGGCCGGGTCGTGTCTGAGTCTCTTCTGACACGCACGGTGATGCCTATAGCCGAGCGTGTCCCTTCTTTTCTCTATCTTATCTCTTTCTCCCTTGTCATGGACGATAAAACCCATCGTCATCCATGTTCTCTCTTACTCTCTCTCTCCTATCATGGATGACAGAGCCCATCGTCGTCTATGTTCTCTCTTACTCTCTCTCTCTTGTCATGGAAGGTGGAACCCATAGTCGTTTATGCTTCTTCTCCCCTTCCCTCTTTCTCTCTCCTACCATGAATGACGAAGCCCATCGCCGTCCATGTTCCTTCTCTCCTTCCCCCTTTCTCTCTCATCTATCATGAGCGGAACCCATCGCCGTCCTTGCTCCTTTCTTCTTTCTCTCTCTTCTGTCATGGACGACAAAACCCATTGTCGTCCATGTTACCTTCTTCCTCTCCCTCCTGTAATGAACGATAATGACCATCATCGTCCATGACATCTCTCATCTCTCTCGTGATTTTCTTCTCTCTTTCTTCATCTTTTTCTCTCTCTTCTCATCTTTTTCTGTTCTTCCTCATCTCTCTCCTCTCCCCCTGCTCTTCTCTTTCTCCCTCATACTTTATGTTCTCTCCTCTCTCTCCCATCTTTCCTCTTTATCTTTCCCTATCTTCTGTTCTTTATCTATTCTCTCTTCTCTTCTCTTCTTTTCTCCTCTCTCCTCTCTTATCTCTACTCTCATTTCTCTTCTCTTCTCTCCTCTCATATCTCTCTCCTCTTCTCTTCTCTTGTTCTTCTTATCTCGTCTCTTCTCTTCTTCTCTCTCTCCTCTTCTCTTCTCTTTTTCTTCTTATCTCTTCTCTTCTCTTCTTCTCTTCTTCTTATCTTTTCTTTTCTCTTCTCTTCTTCTCTTCTTCTTCTCCTCCCTTCTCTTCTCTTCTTCTTCTTTTCTCTCTTCTCTTAACTTCTTTTTCTCTCTCTTATGTCTACTCTCTTATTTTTCTCTATCTTCTGTCTTTTGTCTTATCTCTCCATTATTTCTCTTCTTTCTTTTCTTTCTTCTCTCCTATCTCTCATCTCTCTCTTATCTTCTCTTCTCATTCTCTCTTCTTCTATCTCTGTTATCCTCTCTCTATTTCTCTCTCTACTTTTCTTCCTTCTTCTCTCTCACTTTTCTTCTCTTACTCCTTCCTCTCTTCTCTTTTCTCCCTTTCTTTCCTCTCTTTTTTCTTTCTTTTTCATCTCTTTCTTATTTCTTCTTCCTCTCTCATTTGACTAAAGGACATGCTTAGTCTAGCACTGTCATGGTAGTCTCGTCGTCGAGCAGTTTAACCGTCGTGCTGGTCTGAGTTACTGTACCTGTCTTACTGCCACTTCGGACTAACCATCGTGCCAGGTTGGTTGGAGTTAGTTTTGTCGTCGAGTAGTTAAGGTGTCATGACGGTATGAGTTACCATGCCAATCTTTCTACCATGCAAAATCAGTCACTGTACTGATCTAACCACTGTGTCAGTCTGGCCATTCGGTCAAACTTCTCTTTCTTCTCTCCTATTTCCTCTATTCTATTTCTTCCTTCTCCTTTTATCACCCCAATCTTCATCTCATTAATCTTCCCTTTCTTCTTTTGAATGTCGACGCCTGTGTGCATTCGCTCAAAGACAAAGTGGGGTCCTTTGGCCCACTTGTCTTGTAAATTAATCGTGTGCATGTGATTGCAGAAATAGAAGAGTACAGGTCAAGGGAGGCGATTTCGAATGAGTAGTAGGATTGGGGGGCTTTCCGCTGTGATCTAAGAGGATACCCATGTGATTTAGCCCGAGTGAGTCACGGATTCAGGTGAGGTGTGTCCCGCCTCACATCAAATTCCTCTCTCACCAGTTGGTGTACCTGCCTTTATTTATTAAGCACGTTCCCAAGAGAGCGGTCTCAAGTCTTGAGTTTTCCTTGAAACCCGCAACACGTGCCACCAGATCATCCAGTTCCTAGGGTGAGATCGAAGCGTCTAACTACTTAATAGACTAAAATCTAATTTCAGCTTCAGATCTGGGTTTCGGAGTTGAAGTTTGAAATGAAATCTTGGGGTTTGATTTTGCTTACTTTCTGTTAATGGTGCAAATAGGTCCATGCGAGATGAGCTTTTGTCTCAAGTATTGGAGGCTCTTCTTGTCATCCGGGGTCTTGTAGTACAAAAAACAAAATTGATAAGGGATTGCAATCGGCTATTGAATCTATCTCTTAGACAGTCTTCTGCTTGAGAGTAGTGAAAACAAGCGTTATTTCATACGGGCTTGCATTTTTGGTTTACAGATCCTTGGAGAAGAAATACAGGAATGAAAATCTCTAGTATGGGATGGATAAGCAGTAGTCTTTTGTTTTCTCTGTTATAATTAATGGGATAGATAAGCAGTAGTTTTTATTTTCTCTGAATTGCTTTAGTATTAATTATTGTGTTAATTTTTCCAATAGCATTCGGTGTTATAATAAAGTGGGAGGACATCCACCATAGCAAGAGCTCTTGAGACATTTGGCTACCTATGAAAGTATTGTCCAATCCCATTAGAGGAGCCCCATGAGAACAATGCGAATGATGATGTACTTGGGGACATTGGAGAGAGTAGCTCCTGATCGGAGAATCAGGTCCCGACATAGCCCATTACTACGCCCGCGTTAACGGAGGAGGTTGTACGGGTATACTATGCTTGTGTCATGGATGCCTCAACATCAGCATCTCCTTCCTCTCCCCTCAACATTACTAATTCGAAATATGGGAATGAGTGTGGTGCTCAGCGTATAGTGGATGAAGCTTGCCATGATTTTCCATCTGATGAGGACATAGTTGTAATAAATGGAGAAGGAGATCCGTTACTTATAGATGCTGAGGTAGCCTTAGCAAGAGGTGCAAGTATCGAACCAACAATAAAAATGGTATTTACTGACAAAAATGAAGCTTATGATTATTATAATAAGTACGCAAAATTGGTAGGGTTTGGAATAATAAAGGGAAGGACCATATGGAAACATGGTGGAAGAATTAGTCGGATTTTAGAATGTTGTAGGCAAGGTTTTCAGAGTGAGATGTATGATGGGAGTGAAAATGCTCGCCCCTACACGAAATGTGGATGTCAGGCAAAGATCCGCATTAAGAAGAATGAGAAGAATAGATGGCTTATTGTGAAGGTTGTAAAATAACATAATCATATTCTCACAATGCCCAAAAAGACTATACTCATTCGCTCTCATCGAAAGATACCAAACACAGTGAAAAAGGTGATTGACACATTAGAGTCTTCTATGGATAAGTCTAGGATTATGATAAATTACTTTATTGAAGACGCTGGTGGGGTAGAAAATGTCATTTTCATTGACTAAGACCTTGAGAATCACATAACTAGAAAAAGAAAACAACTGAAAGGGAAAGAGGATAATGTTGCTATGAATTGGTTGCATACAAAGAATGAATTGGACCCTAATTTTTTTTCTAGAGTTCTACTTGATGAGATGGGGAGGTTGTTTGGTGTTTTATGGGTTGATTCAAAGTGTAGATTGTCATAGCAATTTTTTAATGACGTGGTAACCTTTGACACCGCATACCAAACAAATGAATACAGTATGCCCTTTGGCTCAATCCTTGGAGTTAATCGTCAAGATAACATAATTTTTCTCAAATGTGCTCTCATCTTCAATGAAACTACAGAAACCTTCATTTGGTATTTGAGTACTGGCTAGAGGCAATGGGAGGTCGCCAACCAGGTACAATTATCACTGATTAGACTTTAGCGATAACGGCTGCAATCAAGACAGTTTTCCCGAATACTAATCATCATTATTGCAAGTGGCACATCATGGGAAAGTTTAAAACACATCTAAGCCATGTTCAGTGTGCGTAACCATGATTCTTAGAGGTATTCAATAAGTGTATTGCAGCCTACACAGTTGACCAGTTTGAGGCTAAATGGTTGGCTGTGATTCAAAAATATGATCTTCAAGGGGAAAGTTGGCTCAAGTGGTTATATGGTTGTCGTACATAACTGATAGGTTCACAGCCGGCATGAAAACCACATAATGAAGTGAAGGGTTTAATCATCATTTAAAGATGTATGTCACTTCTAGTACAGGTTTACAAAAATTCATGGATGTTATTGAAAAGTTGCAAAACAAGAAGTTCATCAAAGAAAAAGAGAAAGACAGTAAAGATCTTACATCTACACATGTTCTAAAGACAACCTTCCTTATCGAGGAACATACAGCAAAGATATACACTAAAAAAGTATTTAGAAAGTTCCAAGAAGAGGTGGTAAGGTCTTCAAATTGCCTTAGCAAATTAATAGAAGGCAATGATGAATTCGCCAAATATAAGGTGGAAGACATTGGCGGTGTGACGGTTACATTCATTAATCAAGGAAGAAGTGTACATGCACATGTCAGTTCTTTGAGCGTGTTGGGATCCCTTGTTCACATATGCTCAAAGTCTTCAACATGAGGAATGTAATGAAGATTCCATCTAACTAAATTTTGAGTCGTTGGAAAATGGATGCAAAGAAGGGTGTCAAAGAATATGTGGTGCTAGTAGTTCGACTATATCTAAATTTTTGAGTTTCATTCGATGTCATGAGGATTATGATCTTGTGAGAAAACTTGTAGAGCTAGCATTAGAAAATGAAGATCTATTTGAAAAAGTGAAGTTGGGTTTCTCCAAGTTAGCTGAGGAGGTCAATCCAACAAGTTTGTTGAATACTCATGCACCATCAGCCTCCACTCATTGCAGTGCCGCTGAAGATGAAGTATGTAGTAGTACTAGATCAGTTGATGCCTCCCCCCTTATACTCGATACACTATATCCACGAGTAGTTGGATGACCAAGGACTAAAAGGATAAAACCTTCATGGGAGGAAGGGCCAAAAGCATCTACGCAAAAAAAAAGTTTAAGGAAGGGCCACACACTGGAACGAAATATAAAGTTTGCAATAAGAGTGGACATGACAAACGTAACTTTCCCCTGAGGAGACGTGGCATGGAGAGCTACTGAGGACCTTGAGCTGAGTTGACTAATTTTTTGACTAATTTATGGGGAATGTAAATGACTTGACTAATTTTTTTAATTTTGGAGACATGTAAATACCCCTTTTTGTAGTTGACTTTGGGGGTTATGTGAATATTCAATAATCATGTATTTTGTGGGCATGTAAAGGACCCCTCTATGAGGGCATCTAAAGAACCTCTTTATGGGACATCTAAAGATCCTATTTGGTGACTTTTCGGTAACATATGTGTGATATTTATTTCTTTTTTATTTATTTTATTTTTTATGTCAATCATTTGATACATTCTCACCTTTTACCACACCAGAAGGTACGCAGAAAAAAAAACCTAGAGAATTTCATTCACAAAAGATCGTGTTTCATTGTAGCTGATGACCAGATATCTCTCTCTCTCTCTCTCTCTCTCTCTCTCTCTCTCTCTCTCTCTTTATGTGTGTCTCAAAGAGAATTAATGGTATAAAATTTTTCATACTCAAAAACCAAAACATGGGATACTTTAGTTTGAAGCTTGTATATAAGAAGAAGACGGTGTAGGAGTAGATATACTTGAGAATGCAATTTATAGAAAAATAAGAAAGAGACGATTACAATGTCTATTTTAAGAGCATGCAATATTTAGATATGTAATATTTAAGTAAAATTATTTGTTAGGGAAGGGCACATGTTTGACACGCACATAGCTAATACTTTAAATATATTAGATAGATTTTGTAAAAAAAACCAAAAAACAAAAAACAAGAAGAAAAGCTATGTGTTAAAGTAATTGAAAGTGATTCCCAGACAAACTAGGACTTAGCTCAAGTTACATATCAAGCCACTCAAATACTTAATAAATAAATTTATATGTGTTCCTGCTTAGCTCATAAATAGTCTTCCTAGATTGTACTTATCTAATGAAACACCAACCAATAATGTGTTTATAGGTGATGATCTCTTAAGGACCAGACCCATAAAAATAAAACAGTTAGTCATGAAGTTCTTTACAGTTTGGATGAGGAAGGAAACAAATTATGGGTGTATTTTATTTGGAAGCTTGGTTGCAAGGAAGTTGGAGGTGATGTCAGTTGAGGGTCTTGCACGATTCAATTATTGAAACCATCGTAAAATGATGATTGCCATTTCTTTCCAGAAAGAAACCTTATTTAGGCAAAATTAATTATTTGGGACAAAATAACCAGATACGTATTATCCATATATAAATAATATTTAGAGGGAATATATTTTATAAGAGTATCTGCCTATATATCATTAGAATAATGAAGTAACAACTAATCCTAACCATCAAATGCCAAATCAGATAGTACAAAGTATGTTATGGAGTTTGAAAATAAATTTCAATGAACTTCGAGTCTAAACAATCACATACTCTAAGCCTTCTAATTTCAATCTTAATCTCCTTATACAAAAGATAAATGGTTTTATTGTCTATATTTCCATAACTAAATGATTTTGGCATGATTGGGAAATTGAAAAACAACAACCTATATTTGTTAAATTAAGTGTTAGTACAAAAACTTGAATTTGGGTTCGACACAAGTTAATCCACACTAATTTATTCATAAATGTGATTTTTTTATTTTATTAATTCCTAACTTTTTCTTTACGTATAATTGTACGTGTTTAGGGAATAACTACCAAATATTTCACTGTCAGGGATGATTTTTTAGGATGTGTGCCCCTATAATGAAGAAGTTATTTAACTTTTTATAATTTAGGCGAGGAAGGAAACCAATCATAGGTGTACTGCATTGGAAACATGATTCTTTAAAGAACCTTGCATCATTCAAATTTTCAAAACATAAGAAAGAGATGTCTAATATGTTAAGATTTTTAGAAAACAATATTTAGGCAAAACTAATTACTTAGGAGCAAATTATATAGTGCCAGCTATCATCATCATCATTAGAGCCTTTTCCCAACTATTTTATCTATTAAGAGCTATACCCTAAGTGAGGCCAAGTCCCCATATCTTTTCTCACTACATCCAACCATATCATTTTGGGCCTACCCCTTGCAGTTTCTAAGCCTTCCACTTGAACCAATTCGTACCTCCTAATATTTAAATAATGTTAACAAGTTATGTAGACCATTATCAAAAGNTATAAGCTAAGAAGATGACTCTAC